TGTTTCCCCCCCCCTTCGAGTTGTAAGCCGCCCTGAGTCCCCCCAGGGAAAAGGGCGGCATATAAATAAACTCTCATAAACTCATAAACTCTAGAAAACCATAAATATTTTTTTATTTGATAAATTGTACTGTATGTTTCCCTGCCTGTTGAGGAAAAAAGACCATTCCTCTACTCTTAACTTCCTATTCCACTTAACTCATGGGTGTCAAACTCTCTGCGTCATGTCACCATCACATGACATTTCATGACGTTTTTCCCATTTGCGGAGCTAGAGTGGGCGTGACCTGCATGTGACACATCCAGACCGCAAATTGCCAGTTTGACATGCCTGTCTTAACTCCATGCATGTTACAGTACAATTCCATCAACTCCAACTAGCCTGCCTAGTGATAGGAATAGCTGAATGAATGAATCAGGAAGGTTGGTTTAACAATTGTTACAAATTATTTCATTAGTGGCAAATATCAACCAACTTTCTTTTAGAATCCCAGCATTCGAAGAATGTTATTTTTGAAGTTTTGTGAACAATTTAAAGAAAATGATGACATTTTAATCAGCATTCAAACTTGGCAGATGTAACAAGTGTCAACATCCAGAAATAAAATTAGGGAGAGATAGGAAAAGAAGTATCTCTAAGTTTCTGTTATCCCATCCCAAGAGGACAAATCCCCATCCTTTTCCATCTATTGGTTCTAATGAACAAGAAGATGATATCTCACCTGCCAAGACGGACAGCATTCAGAAGAGAAATGAACACCTTGTCAGTCTGTCTCCGAACCTCTGTCAACTCCATGTTCAAATGAATGCACTTTCTCCAGCTCTTTGCCTATAAAAGCACACTCTTGGTCAGCCAGTGACCAACCACATAGTTAGAAGCAGCAGCAACTACAACAAACCTGGAAACAGAACTTGGGCTGTCTGTGGTCCTTGGTAATGGGAGGCAGTTGCAAGAAGTCTCCACAGATAATAAGCTGGATTCCTCCAAATGGATTCTCACATTTCCTGACATCTCTGGCCAGAAAGCAAACAGAAAAAGATTCAAAAAAAATTTTTTTAATGCTCAAGGACAAAAAAATTGAGTGCAGTATCCAAGAATAATCTTTTTTAGTCTTTTAGGTCTGCAATCCCAGGATTCCCAGTCAAGCTGGAAAAACACCAAAATTATGAAAGGATGTCTTAAAAGTAAGTCATACTCCCATTCCCAATAGCTGGCTTTCTTTTCTTTCCTTTTCTTTCCTTCCTTCTTTCCTCCTTCCCTCCCTCTTATCTCTAGGACCACAGTGACAATACTGGCTACAATCCTGATCCCTTCCAGGCTCCCAGTCCATTGCAAAAATCCACAATTCCTCTAAGGGTTAATCAGACCACTGGCACACTCCCTACCAAAATCTGAAAAATGTTCCAGGGATTTCAGACACTTTTGGTCGGATGAATGGAGAAGTGATAAAAAAAAAACGTTCACCATTTTATATAAGTTAAAAAAAATCAGGGTATCTATGGTACAATATAATTAAAAGTGTCAAAAATAAAGCATAACATTAATAACCATGGTAGAAATTAACAATAAAACTAACAAAAATAGAGAATTTAAAAAAAGATGGCATAATGGTTAAGCATCACAAACCTTCTCTGAAAATATTCTGTTTTCAACAAACCTCTGAAGAAGATCTAATCTAATCTCCATAAGGTGACTGCATGCTGCATAAGGTTCTACATACCTAGCCACCGCTTCCAGTTTATCAAAGAATTCCCCTTCCACCATTGAGATCTCATCGATGATCAGACACCGGCAATTCAGCCATTGCTGCCGAATCCCAGGTCTCTTGGCCAGCTCAAGACACTGATGAAGAGGGGCCTTTCCTGACCCAATACCTACAAAAGGGAAAATAAGAGGGCGTGAGAGTGGCATACAAGGCCCAAATTATTTCCAAACTTCTCAGGATCTGAACTCCAGTTACCTGCAAAAGCATGGAGGGTGATGCCCCCAATCTGACATGCTGCCACTCCTGTGCTGGCTGTGACATACGTGCCATTTGGAGGAAAGGAGGCCACAATCTTTTTCAGTAAATAAGATTTTCCAGTTCCTTTGAAAACAAACATTAATTTCAGAGAAACACCATTCAGCTCAATTCATTCAAAGTTGCTCGTATTTTCCTCTCTACAATTTTTTTTACTTATTTAGGGAGTATTTAAATGGCAAATACCGTATCAAGTTTCCTGTGCTTAAGTAGTGGTACTTAGGATGCAACAATGAGTCAGTTTAAAACAGAGCAATTCCACTGAACAAGGGATTGTGTGTGTGTGTGTGTGTGTGTGTGTGTGTGTGTGTGTGCAAAAAATTTTAACGAAGTAAAAACCATTGAAAAAGAAATAAGAGTACATAAGGGGAAATAGTGCATGAGAAACAGAAAAATAGGAAAAGAAAAAATGAAAAAATAAAGATTATAAGGAAGCATTTTACGATCTTCATTGCAGCAATTATAAATGCATTTACATTTTATCCTCTCTCTAAGATTACTAAATAGCTTCCTTCTTTCCATAAAGTGCCCTTTTTTAAATTGTAAAACTCATAAATCACAAGGTCATTTTGGTCAGTAAAATGTTCAAAGGATACGAGAAAACAGCGTTTAAGGTCACGCTGCAAATAAAAAATGAAGATTCCAATAGGAAGTGAATAAACATAGCTCAGAGTTGAATGATGGAGTCCTTGATGATCTATGAGCTTTGTTATTTGTCTGCAGACGTTTCATTGTTTGATTAGGTAACATCATCAGTGCTAGTGAGAGTGGGGTTTGCTCCCTGTTTATGTATAGTAGCTTGCCCCACCAGCCTTGGGTTCCCCCCCCCCCTTCCTTGGTAGTTCCTTAATATTGGTTTATAATACATTAATGCTTGGATTTAGGATTTTACAACACCCAATAATACTTGGAATTAGGGTTTTACAATATTCTAATAAAGGAATTACCAAGGAGAAAATGACAATCCCACCAACACCGGCAGAGCAAACTACTGTATATAAACAGGGAGCAAACCAAGTAGCATTGATATTACCTGGTCAGGGACTTATATACTGCTTCACAGTGCTTTACAGCCCTCTCTAAGTGGTTTACAGAGTCAGCATACTGCCCCCAACAATCTGGGTCCTCATTTTACCAACCTCGAAATGATGGAAGGCTGAGTCAACCTTGAAACATCAGTTTGATGGTTCAAATCCCTAGTGCCGTATAACGGAGTGAGCTCCAGTTACTTGTCCCAGCTTCTGCTAACCTAGCAGTTCGAAAGCATGTAAAAATGCAAGTAGAAAAAATAGGAACCACTTTTGGTGGGAAGGTAACAGTGTTCCGTGAGCCTTCAGTGTTTAGTCATGCCAGCCACATGAGCATGGAGATGTCTTCGGACCGCGCTGGCTCTTCAGCTTTGAAACAGAGATGAGCACTGCCCCCGAGAGTCAGGAACAACTAGAACATATGTGTGAGGGGAACCTTTGCCTTTACCTATTGGGATCTTAATTTTTTCTTTGCAGCATGACCTTATTAACATCGTTTTTATCTTACCCTTTGGACTTTTTATTGACCAAAGTGACCTTGTGAGTTATTGATTTGACAATTAAAAAGGGCAGTTTATCTCAAAGAACTCCACACACACACACAAATGAAAATAATCTATTCATGCACACGCAAAAGAAATCCCAAGCCATTAGTTAAATCTCTTATGAATAATAGCAGTGGGAGTTCTTTAGCTTGAATCCCCAACATAGTCATAGAAAACACCTGGGATTCTTCATTTGAAATGACTAATCATGCACCCCTCCCACCCCTTTTCACTTACCAGCACTCCCTGTGAAGAAGACATTCTTTCCACTCAACACTGCATTCAGCACTGTTGATTGCTCCTGGGAAAGTGTTGCTCGGGAGCCCATCAGCCACGACTTCTTCACCTGCTTTTCTTCAGTCATCTGATGGGACAATCCATATTTAACTGACATTCCAAAGGCAGAATATTTATTTATTTTTTTATTTATTAAGTTTGTCACTCATGTGCAAGATAACAGGAATTAGAATGAACATGAACAAGTGCACAGGAGATGGATACAATAGGACAGGGAAGTTAGGCACGCTGGTGCGCTTATGCATGCCCCCTTACAGACCTCTTAGGAATGGGGTGAGGTCAATAGTAGACAGTTTAAGGTTAAAGTTATGGGGGTTGAGGATATAACAACAGAGTCAGGTAGTGCATTCCAGGCATTGACCACTCTGTTGTTGAAGTTATATTTTCTGCAATCGAGTTTGGAGCGGTTTACCTTGAGTTTGAATTACTTTTTAGTTTGAGTTTAAGATTCAAATATACATTTGAATCTCAGGAAATCAGAACTGGTTATTAAAGTGACTGCCATTAAAGGTTTACTCTGTTATCTCTTTTCCAAAAAGAGAAGAAAAGAAAGTTTCTGACGAGGGAAGGCGTTGGGACTGCAGGTTCGGTTCTGGTGGAATCTGACTAACAAAACTCAACTTACAACCACAATTGAGCCCAACATTTCTGTTGTTAAGTGAAACAGTGAGTTTTCTTCCATTTTACGACTTTTTTGCCATAGTGAATCACTGTAATGGCTAAGTTAGTAACATGGTTGTTAAGTGAATCTGGCTTCCCCATTGATTTTGCTTATCACAAGGTTGCAAAAGGTGATCATGTGACCTTGGGACACAACAACGAACACAAGTATGAATTCTTTGCCAAGCATCTGAATTTTGATCACATGATTATGGGGCTGCAAAAAGGTCACTTTTTTCAGTGCCATTGTAACTTTGAGGTCACTTAATGAACTATTGTAAGTTGAGAACTCCCTGTATATGTATAATATATAAATTGTTTTATTTTTATTTCTTTCTACTTTTCTCCTTTTCCATATTTTTCTTAGTTTGTATTAATTTTTTCTCCTTTAATTTATAAGCTTTAATAAAATTATTGGGCAAATCTATCTTTCAAACATATTATCCTCTAGTCAACAAGGTCAATGGCCTTCTTGGATTTGGGGAAAGCACCATCAGATGCAGTGGTGGATTCCAGATCCCGTTGCAACTGGTAGGTGCAATGGGACAGGGCGCCCACCACGTGCATGCATGCAGCACGCGCATGCATACCCGCCTGTGATGCTCCAGCTCCGGAACAGTACCTGGTGCTCCCAGCAGGCACCGGCACGCCCGTACCAGGGTGCATCGGTCGTATCCCACCACTGATCAGAGGGTATGATTGTTTCTTTAGTGCTTAGTATTACCTATTGAAAGGGACACAGTGGCTAAGACGCTGAGCTTGTCGATCAGAAAGGTCGGTAGTTTAGTGGTTCGAATCCCTAGCTTCACGTAACCAGTGAGCTCCCGTTACTTGCCCCAGCTTCTGCCAACCTAGCAGTTCGAAAGCATGTGAAAATACAAGTAAACAAATAGGAACCACCTTTGGTGGGAAGGTAACAGTGTTCAGTACGCCTACAGCGCTTCGGCTTTGAAACGAAGATGAGCACTGCCCTCTAGAGTCGGGAACCGTATGTGCGAGGGGAATCTTTACCTATTGATGCTTAATAGTATAAGCAAATACCGTAGTTACTTTTCAAGCAGAAGATAGCTTACCTGCCTCCCATCCACTGATTCCAAAGGACGCTTTCTAGACCTGCAGCGTAGAATCTGTCCTTTCGTGGGGGTGGCTGTAACGTTAGCCAGGGCTTCTCTGGCCTTTGCATGTTGCAAATCGCGGACTTGTACCGGGCTTACTGTGTCGAATGTGCGCGGCAAGCTAGAGAGGAGCCTTGTCCGCTCGGGCACCGGCCGCCCTCCGTGCTGGGTGGCTTCAAATTTGATGCGCAGAGTCTGGACGAAGCGACGCAAGCGATCCGGAGGGCAATTAGAGAGCAGCAGCTGCACGTAATTGGAGTCTAAGGGACCCAACCGGACCGAGCTCTTCCCGTCCTTCACAAAACGTGTGAACAGGCGCATTTCGTTCTGCCGCAGGGGGAAGTTCTGGAGACGGCCTGGACCCGAGGCATTCGTCACCTGTAAGACCAGTTCGCGAAACTCGTTCCGCCCGAGGTTAACCCAGGCATCCCGCAGGAGCAGCCGGTTCGGTACCGCCGCCGTCCCCAGATGCTCCACGGCCACCGTGCAGCGAATCCTCCCATCCAGCTCCGAGCCTTCCGCCGGTTGCATTCTGCGGGGTGAAGCCGAGAGAGCAAACCCGCGGGCATGACAAGAGCGAGATCGAGACCCCCACTAAAAAAGCCTGCGTCGGGTGCGGAACGGATACTTTTAGCCCGCGGTCGACCCAGCCGGGTGTTGAAAAGACATCCTCACGTTAAAGTTGCCTTGCTGGACTCAGGCAGATTCAAATATTTTTCGACCGGCCGTAGCGACCAATCCGCGTTTGGGGAAGCTTTAATTTTTCAGCCAATGAAAAGAGGAGAAGGCGGAGTTAGAATTCCCGGCTTGCGACGTTCTTAAGTCACTAGCCGGGAGACAGAAAGCGGCAATCTCCACCCCTTGGAGACGCTCCGGCTGGAGAGGACGTCGGCGGAGGTTCTGGAGCGATTGAAATAGCGATCAGAGTAACGCCGCATGGCTGCGTTTAAGGGGGGCGTGAAGGAACCATTGGACCCAGTAAGCCAGAACAAGATCTTCACGGAAACGGTCCGGAAGGAGCTGCGATGCCAGCGCCTGCATACCGAGTTTGCCTTAAACCCGCTCCTGAAAGGTGGGTGGGCTGGAAAGGCGGTGGTTTTGTCAAATTCAGGCAGTCCTCGACTTACAACGGTTCATTTAGTTGCCGTGCAGTTACAAGGGCACTGAAAAAAGTGACTTGTGGTTTTTCACACTTAACGACCGTCGCAGCATTCACCACGTTCAAAATTCAGACGCTTGGCACGTGGTTCATATTTATGACAATGGCAATGTCCTGGGGCATGTGGCCAGCTTTTGTGAAGTCTTCTAGCAAAGTCAAGAGGAAAGCCAATCTGGCTTAAGTGAATCTCACTTAACAAACACGATACCAACAACTGCAGTGTTTCATTTAACAACTGCAGCAAGAAAAGTTGTAAAATGAGGAAAAGCTCACTTAAATAATATTTTATTCAGCAATATAGATTTTGGGGCCCGTTGTGGTCGTAATACAACTACGTGTATTGCTCCCTTTCCTTTCCTTTTTTAAATGTATACTTGCCTTTGAACGTAATCAAAGCCTGATATAGGCCGTAATAGTCTGCAAAGGGAGTAGGACAAAATGACACCTGGCTGAAATCATAGGTTCTCTATGCATGTTTTTGATTCTGTAAAAGTCAGCATTTCAAACTAAATACTACCCAAAATGTTTCCAAAGAAATCAAGGTAAGGAGAAAATATTAACTTTCTCATTCTATGGTAATCTAAAGCGAAGTTTAAGAGCACCTTCATCTGAACTTCCGCAATAGCTAATTACATAATCTTGCTTTTGTCCTGCAGTTTATGCCTTAACTGGGAAACCTGCCTCTTGGCATGATAACTTAGAGGAACCTGAAGATGGTAAGACACTGTTACAGTATTTTTTTAATGTATTTATAAATAATGTATTTATCCATGTGCTGGAGAAGGAAATCACTGACAATCTGCAGCACCTAAAGCTTTGTTTCTGCTGGCACAGCACTTGATCAACGTAATTCTCATCAATCAGTGAAAGAGCTTTGGGGGGGGGTGTTTGCACTCTGCAAACCTCCCCAAAACAGCCTGTTTTTTGCGAAAATGGGCCGGGTTTTTTTTCCAAAAGAAAGGCATGAATAGCCCGGGGGGGGGGGGGGGCGGGGGGGGGTTGGGGGGGGGGGGGGGGTGTGGGGGGGGCTTGGGGGGGGGGTTGGACAAAAAATGGCCTA